CACTTAATTTTGTTTTAGCCAATACTCACGTACATGCTGATCATATTACTGGAACTGGTGAACTGAAGAAGTTAATACCAACATGCGAAAGTATTATTTCTCTATGTAGTGGAGCTCAAGCAGATAAATATGTAAAATCAGGAGATGAAATACAGTTTGGAAGATACTCTGTTGAAGTTAGACAAACTCCAGGGCATACTAATGGTAAATACAATTTTGTATTATATAATATTTGATAGTGTGTGGGTAAAATGGATTAAATTGAATTGTATTGAATTGTAAGTTGTAAGATTATTTTCTTTAACTATCTATAACTTTTAATGAATTAAATATAAGTAATATACATAGTTAAATGAATATAATTCAGTGTATAATTTTTGTATACTAGTATTATATAATAGAGATAAGGAGACAAAACTATGTTTGCAAAAAATTTCAACAGAATAACCTTACAATAAACTGCCTCTGGTGGGCATAATATACAAACTCATTAAATTATTTTAGAATTTAAAATAAATATTCAATTGTTTTGGTCATAACGTATACAATTTAATTTGATTGGTAAGATCACATATTTATGATGTGTATGTTATACAATTTTGGTTGTATTAATTGAGATATTGTTTTTTTTTACAATACAGGACATAGGTACTGTCATTAATGTTTTTCTAAAAATATCTTCTTATGAACCACAAATAATTCTCTATAATAATACAAAAGTAATAAATTGTATAATTTATCATTGCCCTGAAATCACATACAGTCTAAAACTCAGTGTCTTTTGTAGTTTTACTGCAGTTATAGCTCAACACTTTTAGTATGTAGAATTGTCTATTAATTTGAAAATATACTTTTATAAGTTCAATAAAAACAATAATTATAGGTACCTACCTAGGTAATAAAACAGATTTTTTTTTTATTGTAATGTGTTAAAGAATAATACAAACTTTAAATATGTGAATAAATCATTACTATTTGTAAATAATTGTGGTGATCGGTGAACATTAGGTGGATATGACAAAAGTTAATAATAAATAGAGATTCTTTGTAACGATACATATTATAATATAGTATACACTACATTGTAAAACTGACTATAGAAAGTAAAAATAAAAATAAAAAATATCAAAATATCAAAACTTTAATTATATTATAATTACATTTTATAAATAATTGCTAATAAATACTTAAAATGAGTACATAAATAGTACCTAAATAAGTATATGTAGTGTATACTGCTCTTCAAAAATATTAATGAATTAATGAAAGAATACAGAGTAGTGTGAAAAATGTATTATTAATTAGTTTTATAAATGCCATTCAAATAGCTTATATTTTTTATCAATTTAATACAAGTATCATCAATGTAGTTTTTAAACTATATAGTCAACATTTTAATAATAAATCATGTAAATCAGATAAGGATTCAAGAAAATAATATAAATGCAATTTTAAACTTAACTAGTTATTAAGTAATTATGTTTATAATTTATCAATAATTAGGATAGTTTTTTAAGTTCTGTAAAAATGGAAGTTTTTTTAAACTATGTTTTTAATTTAAGTATATGCTAAATAAAATTGTATATATTTTTACTTATTATTTCACAAATTCTTAATTTTATGTAATTTGCATTCTCCTAGTTTGATTAAAAACTAACATTGTGTATTATACACTAACCTAATGTTATCTTAATTATGTTTCTGCTGTTTAGGTTGTATTACATTTGTTTGTCAYGATGAAGCAATAGCCTTAACTGGAGATTGCTTATTGATTGGTGGTTGTGGACGCACTGACTTTCAAGAAGGAGATCCTGAAACGTTATACTCTTCTGTTCATGAACAAATATTTTCGTTACCCGATTATTATAAAGTATATCCAGCGCATGACTATACGGGTATGTTCTAAAACTAATRTTCTGTATATTTTCAACACTTAAATTAATGGATAGATAGCTTTTGTATTTAAAACATAAATTCGCTATAAATTAATATTCGTATTTTATAAAAAGTTTAGTATGCCTAATATTAATCAAACCCAGTCTCTACATCCTAATGTTTCATGAACTAATTTCATAATTGGATATTACWAGTAGAATATTATTTTTACTTAGAACTAGTGAAATAATGTYGTGTGTGATGAAAAATCTAATTACTATTAGAGCCAGGCCTAGAAGCTTAACTACTTTAAATAAAAGTRCATTATTATGTGTAATTAAAAATGACTTAAATGTAAAACAATGCAGTCTTGGCTATCTCCCAATATGCAGTCTACCAAAACAAGCATGTTGTACCATAGTAGTAATTTTAAGTATAAGTATTAAGATATTACTAATTATCCAAAAAGCATAATTTCATATCTCTAAGGAAGGCAAAAAAATATTATCAGTTTTATATAATCCTCGTCACTAACATTCAGCTAAATAATACCTCTCTAATGGGTCTTGATTAAAAATTTAAAAAAAGTTGTTTCACCTCAAATGACATTAAACAAACTAACCTGTTGTTACATGATAAAATATAATATATTGTTATAAAAAATTAAGATAAAACATATAAATTGATAGGTAATAAACTAATATATATTAATGATGGAGGATTCCCAGCTATAGGTAGAACCAGAGGCAGATTTCCCATTAGGCACTGTTGGCAGCTGTCTAGAGCGGAAAATTTAGAGGAGGTGGTAAATGTTGAAGTGTTTTATTAAAAAACATAGAAAGTGTAAAAAAAAATATTGTTAGATCAATTACTTTTTATATACCAATAATTATTAATAATGTGCATATTTTTATATTTTATATTTTTATAGATCGTATATGGGCATATGATATACAATATATTTATCTATTTTGGTTCATTATAATTTACAGTCATTATAAATAAAGTAAATCCCTGTGTATAAAACTGTTTTTGTTAATACTATATTTTACATGTTGGTATAGTCCTCCCAGAGCCGCATCGCCTAAAAGTTAAGTTTAGATGTAGTACCTATAGATAATATTAAGATGTTTAAGTTGAATATCTAATTTGTATCCTATAAATAAAGATTTTTTTCATACAAAATATTGTAAACTACTGTGTTTTACTTAATGTTCTTAACAATAGTTATAGTTTTGTTTTATTATTTATGGTTTATAATTAATAAAAATGATCGTTGTACGTTTTTTCAAAGTAGGCTAAATAACAAAAAGGCGAAAAAAATAGTCTAAAAATTCAAATGGATATCCACACTATTGTCTATATATTTAATATTTAGAGTAGGTATTTTGGAGGGGTATTGTAACTTGTTCACCTATTAAAGGGCCGGCAAATTGTTGGTGTCTATAAGATAAATCCGCCTCTAGGTAAAACACAAAATGAATGTAGACTGCGAATTGGGAGACAACCATACTTTGTTAAGAGATATAAATAATAGGTAATATAAAACAAGGATGGCAATATATTCATCAAAATAAAAATATGAATGCCATCAATATCCGGTTCTTAGTACCTATTATATTATGATGTATACCTTCATTAACGTTTATTTCAGGTCAGACCGTTTCAACAATTGGAGAAGAAAAGACTTATAATCCACGACT